AGAGTTTAGGGTTGGCAAATGAGCTAGACATTTTGGGAAGAAATCCTAGGAGCAAGATGCAGAAGTGGCACAACATTAAATCTGAATTCTTTACCCAAATTCCAGCTGACTGATAAACTTCACATGCACACGGGAGATTTTGGAATGCTCAAGGTAAAAGTAGACAGTAACCAGTGAGAACTGGTTGATATTTGAGTCTGCTACTTTTTTAATAGAGTGTAGACCTGGTCTGATTGTAGCTCAAATGATTGAACACTAAGGCTTTACAGGCCTCGCTGGAGTATTAATGAGTGTGTGGCTGGCAGATCGGCTAGAAATTTAGGGGAGAAAATGCTAGAGAGTAGAAAAGGCAAGGAAAGTGGGCCCCAAAATACAAGCACAAACAGCCCAAATAATTGGCTTTCACTATTTGATGCAAGCACAGGGGAGACCATAACAGAAAAAGCTGCAGTTATAAGGCAGAAATACTGAGTAGAGTGTAGCAGCTAAGGGATCCCACCATGGGGAAGATAAAGCTTGCAGTTTTAGCTCAAGCAACTTAACCAAAAACTAAAACCAAAATAAAAATATTAATATGAGGAAGAAATGATGATCCAGAGTTGCAACATTATCCACAATGTCCATTTTCTTTTAACAGAAACTAAAGACATGCAAAAATCAGGCACGGGGCAAACCACACTCATGAATAAGGCAGTCAACAGAAATTGACTCCTAACAGGACCAGCTGTTGGGTTTAGTTGACAAAAAACTTCAAAGCAGGTATGATATAGATGTTCAAAGAATTAAAGGAAAATATAATCTCAATAACTATGCTGATATGAAATCTCAACAGAAAAAAGGAACTATAAAAAACAACCAAATGGAAACGTCAGATGTGAAAAATACAACAAAATGAAAAATTTATTATAGGGGCTCAAGAGCAAACTGGAAAGGATAGAGGGAAGAATCTGTAAGAATCTGTAAACCTGAAGGTAGAACAATAGAAATTACATAACCCAAAAGACTAAACAAAAATAAATGGAGCCTCTGAGACCTGTGGGAGAATAACAGAGGTTTAACATATCTGCAACTGGAGTTCTGAAAGGAAAGGAGAAAAAACCTAGAAAACTTTTTTGGAAAAAATAGTGGTTCAAAATATTCCAAAAGTGATTAAAAAAACAACAACAACACAGAATTATTTTACAGTTCTAAGAAGCTAAATGAATCCCAATTAGATTAAAAACACTCCTACATGTAGTATAGTCAAATTGGTGAAAAACAAAGATATACAAAGTATCTTAATGCTTTAAGTATTAAGAGGAGAGATTTCTTACATAAGCCTAGACAAAACGTAACACATGACATATATGGTGCTGTAACAACTAGCTATCCTATGAGAAAAAAACAAATTGCAACCCTTACTCCATACCATACATTAAAAATTAACTTTTAAGTGGTGGGTCTTAGCATTAAACATAAAAGCTAAAACCATTAAATGCCCATAAGAAAACATAAGACAAAATGTTTGTGATCTTAGGGTAGTCAAAGATCCCTCAGGTGAGATGAGACCAAAAAGACATAAACCTTAGGGGAGAAAATTAAAAATTTTACTATATTGAAATTGAAAAAGCTCTGTTTGTCAAAGGATCACATTAAGATAACAAAAGACAAGTCATAGGAAGGGAGATAATATTTGTAATGCAAATGATTATGAACAGAATTTAAAGATCTCTTATAAACCAATAATTATGGGAGAAAATCCCAATTAAAAACTGGGCAAAAGATGTAGACATTTGGAAAAGATATGCAAATGACCAATAAGCACATGAAATGAAGCCCATGTCATTTGTCATCAGTGAAATACAAACTAAAATATCAATGAGACACCATTATACTCTCAATAGAATAAGACTGACCATATTAACATGTACAACCCTCATACGCTGCTGGTAGGAATGTAATGTATGTAATACATTTTAAAAGAATTGAAAGTTTCCTATAAAATTGGATGTGCACTTACCATACGATCCAGCAATTCCACTCCAAGGTATTTTCCCAAGAGAAATGGAAACAAATGTCTGCACAAAATCTTGTAAATGAATGTTCATAAACAGCTTTATTCATAATAGCCCCAAAGTAAAAACAACCCATATGTCCATGAACAGGTAAACTGAAACAATGTGTGGCACATATGCATACAATAAACTAATTCCTAGCAATAAAAACTACAGATACATGAAACATGCATGAATTTCAAAATATACTGAGTGAAAGATGCCAGATACAAAACTGTGAATACTATATGATTCCACCTATATGAAATCTGTGAAAATGCAAAACTAACTTTTAGTGCTAGAAAGGATTGTATGGTTGTCTGGAGGTGAGGAAAATCAGTGGTAAAGAGTCAGAGGAAAATTTTTTGCAATAGAAAGAGTCCCATCTTGATTATGGTGGTAGTATAGATTTTGGTTAACTGTACACATTTTTCAAAACTCACCAAACTATACAATTAATAATGGGTGTGTTTTATTGCATGTAAATTATACATCACTAAGTTGATTAAAACATGTGTAGTTATCTCTGACACAACTGAAGACACTAAGTCATGGTTTAGATTTTGCATAAATAATCATAATTAACTTCATAATTAACTAATTTCCAAGCAATTGTTACATTAGGAGCTTAACATCACTTAAAGTTATTGTTTGTGTTCAGATGTGTTCAAGGTGCCCTTGCACCTATACCCAACCCTCCCTTCTTCCACACTACCATTCTGATGTTAGCTGACTGAGAGCAGAAACCCTGGCTATCATATTCATGCCATATACTCAGTACCAAGTTGTATACCTGGTCCCTGGCAGGTGCTCAATACATATTGGTTGAATTCATGAATAAATGAATCCCTTATATGTTAGTATGCATCTAGGATCTCTCGTAGGCCTTTGTCCACTCTCCCTTGGGCAATATTATCTGTTTTTGTGGCTTCAGTTACATCTATACACTGATGACTATCAAATCTGTATGTTCTATGTTCACTTACTGATCACTAGACCCATTTCAACTGCCTACTGGACAACTCCATGTGAATGTCCCACAAGCAACTCTCAAATTCCACGTTTAAAATGGAACTCATTAACTTCCTCTAAGTTTATTCATCTCATCCATACTAAAAACAAAACTTTGCCTAAAACATCTCACACTCATAGTATCTCACTTGCCCCCTCAAATGGTCTCTACTTACTTTTCAACACACGTAAATCTAGCTTCCACCCTAACCATTAGGCTAGTGAAAGCATCCTCTCTGAAGCCAGCACAAGTGATCATTTAATTTCCTCAACTGAAGCTTAGACAGCTATACTGTAGATACACTCCTCCATGCCCAAGAGCTCTGTCTTAACTCAATCTCTACTTCTTCTTTCCTGGGTTCATGCAAACCAGTCTAATTGGTCTTTCTGTTATCAAGTCTGTCTCTTTCTTGTCTAGTTCATCTTTTACACTGCTGACAGAATTATTTTTCTGTTAACCAATCATGTCACTTCTTTTTTTACAGATAAGTCAGTGGTCTTTGTCTAATGGCTAAAAAAATTCTAACTCCCAATAACACACACATTTTTTCAGCCTCCTCACTAGCCACTATCACTTTATTTTCTAAAACATTATGCCCTTGTCTTCAGTACTCTGATGCTATAATGCCTTTTCTTCTTATCCACCTAAAAATTTGAAGTATTCTTTAAAACATATCTCAAATATTCCCTCTGCTATGAACTCTTCCCTAATTCCTTCAGTCGGAATTGTTCATTTCCATTTACAATTCTTGACATCGCTAACCACATTTCCGAGTTAACACTTACCAGGTTACACTTACTATGTCATTTATTATGTGGGGTAGACATTGCATACATTATTTCTTGCACCATGCTACAAACATTTAATTATTTTTTATCTGACCATTGTGTAATGTCTGAGCACTGATCCCTGAAGATAGGATTAAATTTTGGCAGTGGTTAATCTTCTTCTGCATATTGATTTCATTTGCTTGTCTGTCCCCAACCTGACTGTAACTCCCCGTGTCCAATATTTAGCATACTACCCAGCATTTTCAGGCCCTTAATGAATATTGCCCAGTGTGAGTAAACAAATGTTCCATGTCCTATGCTTCAGCTGAATCAATTCCAATGTTCAATGGGATGGCATTCTATGGCCAGATTAACTTCATATCTAATTCTTCATATACATGCTGAAATTATGGAAACCAGTTCACAATGTACTACCTACCACCTATCTTTCCCTTAATAAGAGTTTTTCAAACTGTAAACCTAGTACTATTTTCCAGCAATGGTTCAAATGTTCCATTTTAGGACTTGATTCTGGACTTAGAGTCTCACTCTGTCTGTTGCCCAGGTTGTATTATGGGTGTGAGCCACCTCTTCCAGCCTGTACTTTTCTTATGTTTTTTTTTTTTTTTTTAAAAGGTAATAGTAAAGATTGTTTTAAAAAATTAAGTTTTTCAAATATCTGTTTTCTTTGACAGTAAAATCTGCTTTTTGATGTGACTATGTTAAGATGGCAGAACTTTCTAGAACCTAAAATCCATCAGGGTTTAAAATCAAGTAAAAATAAGTAAACTACATTACTAATATGATGTTTTAGGTATGTAGTCTCAAATGTGTATTTATATATAAAATTTTATCTTAGAATAAAATCTAAAGTCCCTTCCAACTCAAAGGAGTCAGAATTCTTTTTTAAAAAATATTTATTTATTTATTGAGGCAGGGTCTTGCTCTGTTGCCCAGGCTGGAGTGCAGTGGGGTCTTGGCTCACTGCATCTCCACTTCCCTGGTTCAAGCAATTCTCCTGTGTCAACCTCCCAGTATCTGGGATTACAGGCTCCTGTCCCCATGCCTGGCTGATTTTTATTTTTTTGGTAGAAACATGGTTTCACCATGTTGGCCAGGTTGGTCTCAAACTCCTGACCTCAAGTGATCTGCCTGCCTCAGCCTCTTAAAGTACTGGGATTACAGGCATGAACCACCGATCCCGGCCAAGGAGTCAGAATTCTTAAATGGCTTAATCAGTTGTACATATAGTTGAGGGCAGAAATAAATTTATTAATAAAATCTATGACAGAAACAAACCAATATCCAGAAGACTATGGGCCACCATCACACATTAGTCCTAATTACAGGGACTGGTCTTCAAACATTATATGATAGTTTTTTTCAAAATAAAATAAAGATGTATAGGCAAAAATGTACCAGGTATTCTGAAAAAATGTATGTAATGCCTACTTCACTATCTTATATATGAGTCCATCAATAAAGGTCAGTTTCCTCCCTAGTTTAACCATGTATCTCCTAAAGGCATGCCCCTGTTGTGTTAGAGCAATTTTTCTGAGTGTGCAAAAATCTTTTACATGCAGTATTCCACATTCTTGTTCTTTCTTAAGAGTTGCCTTGCGTTCTCGAGAAGAGAACAATGCCCATGAAATTTCAGCCACTGTCATTTGAGGGGGAAAAAAAAAGTCTCCTTAGATACAGCTGGATATTGGAGGAAGGGAAATGCTGGAGTCACTTCAACATGACTTGGAGTGAGTGTAGGTATGCAGCTGCCAGCCACCTGATGAGTACTATGATTAATTTTATGTCCTTAAATAAAAAATCACATCATCATCATTGCCAATCCTATCTAGCAAAAGGAAATATAATCCATCTTTAGATGAGAAATAGTTTTTTTCCTTCAAATACTTGATTTTCAAATAATTCGAAGCAGTAAAATTTTCATGTTGAGTTGAAATCTGTTCTGATACAAACAGAAAAGGTTATCAGATAGTTCTACTTGAAAGGCTGCAAAATGACAATCTTTTTCTGCATCACGATGGCTCATTTCAGATTTACATTAAAGTTTCTGGGGTTGGAACAGCTCTTACTGTGTTTATATATTACTTATACTTTGAAGTATCTTGTGTGCCTTACTACATATGCAGGCACTGGTGCATCAAAGCTCAAAATGAGTATCTTTATTGGTGGTTATGTCCCACAGCAACACAAGGTGGGTGGCTAGTCCCAGATAGTCTCTGCAATAATAATGGACTCTTCTACTCGAGGCCTGCTTGGTTCTTACCTGAATTACTGTTACTCATTGCAGTTTCTATATGCACCAGGATTTCTTTCTACAAACATATATTTTTTTAAATGGAGTTTAAAATTTCAGCAAAATGAGTTGAACTAAAATTCCACTTTTTTTTTTTTTTAGACGGAATCTCAATCTGTCACCAGGCTAGAGTGCAGTGGCACGATCTTGGCTCACTGCAACCTTTGCCTCCCGGGTTCAAGTGATTCTCCTGTCTCAGCCTCCTGAGTAGCTGAGACTACAGGCACATGACACCACGCCCAGCTAATTTTTGTATTTTTAGTAGAGATAGGGTTTCAGCATGTTGGCCAGGATGGTCTCGATCTCTTGACCTGGTGATCCGCCTGCCTTAGCCTCCCAAAGTGCTGGGATTACAGGTGTGAGCCACCATGCCCGGCCCAATTCCCCTGGTTTTTAATGGAAGTACAGGTATGTGTTATGTTTGAATACCCTGTGGAATTTGGCCAACATATCAAAGTCTAAAGACACCAGACACAACAGGTCAGTTTGTATGAACTGGGGCTGCCCACTGGAAGGACAAATCTGAGCGTTAAGATCACTAAAGGAAGAACAAGCCTTCAGGAGAGTTCTAACACAGGGTCCTTCCAGGTTCCTTAGAAGGTAGTAGAGGTCAAATTCAAGACAGCTTTTTAAGAATTTTTAAGATTTTAATGGCAAATCAGGGCAGCATCTGCTGACCAAACCCACAAATATGTTTTGCTCATTGTAGTCTAAGTAATTTCTTATGGTTTTATACCATTTGCTTAATAGCCTAAATGAACATTTGAGCTCAGAGGCAACATGGTAAGTTATGTTTCAATTACAAATTAAAAATGGGGGGAAAACAAACAATTGGCCTTTCATATCCATGGGTTATGCATCCAAATATCAAAAATATTTAAAAAGAATAAAAAATACCAAAAAAGCAATATAGTATAACATCATTTACGTAGCATTTACATTGTATTATTATAAGTCATCTAGATATGATTAAAGGTGTAAGGGAGGATATATGTATGTTATATGTAAATAACATTTTATATAATGAACTTGAGCGTCCATGAACTTTGGTAGCGTTGGGGGTCCTACAACCAATCCTTCCGATAGATACAAAGGGACAACTATATTCCTAAGTGTGGGTAGGTATGTACATGGATGATTTCTTTCTCCATATTCTCCTAAGAGAAATCTACAAAGTTGAACTTGTATTGATCTCTTATCAAAAATGAATACCTTATTCTTAAAAAAAAAAAAGCTGCTGCAAATAGCCAGGTTGATGGTAACTATATGTATTGGAAAGCATGAGCTATAGGAGAGATAAGAATAAACAGAAAGGAGAAAGGTTGATTCTCAGATTCTCAGGGAGACCGGCCACTCCTAACCCACTCCCGCCAGCCCCATCTCAATGTAATCTATACTAAAGTCATATTGTTAAAAAATAAATAACTAAAGAAGTCTGTGGCTACAAAAGAAGCCTGCTATCATCATATTAAACTCAACAAAAGGAGGCACATCAGTTGAAATGTATTAAGCATGAATTATATTTGAAAAGGAAGACTTTAAGTAGACATTCTCATCTTGCTGGAAATGGCATGATTATAATACAATAATGAAATGCCCCTCCATAAAACACTCCTTGATTTTGCTAAATAAACTAATCATAGTTTAAGTAAAACACCGACTAAGCACTTCTTTATATTATTTGTGTGAGAAAAAAAACTAGCGTGTTATACTCTGAAGGTTTCACAAACAACACTGTTTCAGTGGATCATGCTCACAGGAGAGGCACAGAATAGCAAACTGAAATGAAATCCATCTAGAAGGGATGATTTACTAAAATAATCCACTTTCATTTCCAACCTAGTTTTTAATGACTAATTTAAACAAAGAAACCACTTGTATTTAGTTATAAAGACATTTCTAATATAATTAGCATATAAAAGCATATTAAAGATGTGAAACCTTAGAATAATGTAAAGCACAACATGAAACAAATTCTTTCACTTCAGTTCAAATGCACAGCATTTCAAGAGTGTCTTTTGCATAATAATTTTCTTAAAAAAATGAATGATTTTGAAACATTTTGGCATTATAATAAAAGAGTACACAACAAGGAACCCTGAAACACTATGGTAGGACTACAAGTTTGAATGAGTTTTTATAAAATCTGTAGAAGTTATAGAAGCATATGATTAGGCTGAATAACAAAGTCTGAAGTTCACAGAACTACTGAATAAAACATTTAAAAGAAGGTAAATAAAATGTATTAATACTTGATAAAACTTGAAAGAAATAAACATTCATTTCTGACAGAGATCTAAAAGGTTCGATTCTAAAATATGATAAAAACTTTAGGTGAGACCAAACAAGAATAAAAGAACTGCTGAGAATGTGCAAGTGTTCGGTCACATTCTGCTAAGTCAATTTTATTAATAACTTTAATTGTATATACGTTTTACGTATTTTGTAGATTTAAAAGAAAGGATTTGAGCTTGGATATCTACAGTCAGTTGAGCAAAGTAGCTTTTTGTAATTTATAAATTTGAATTAAATACTGGGTAATGAAACAAAATTAAAGGTTAAAACAACTTTGTTTTCAATACACTCACATATTTTTACTTTGTAATACAATATAGCTGTCACACACAATGGCTCTAGTAGGCTTAAATCAAATTGCAATGGGCAAGGAAAGCCAAGGAAGGGTTTACAAAATATTTAATAACCAATAATATCTGTTCAGTGTGCAATAAAATAAAAAAGTTCTAACCTAGAAACACAGAAAACGAATTTATTGTTTTTGAGTTCCAGAAATAAAAGTAACAGAATATATTGTATATAATCTGTAACAAGCTGGTCCTATAATTTCTAAACTACAGTTCAATTAAAACATTTAAGTAATAGAAACAATCTACATGTTTTTCTACCAGGTAAATATGCCTGAGAGAGTTGCCTATAAAGAAATAGGCTTTAAAACTCTTAACCACAAAGAATCTTTTTCTGCGACATTATGAAGATGGGCTATGCATGTGGCTGGACTAAGCCATTTCCCAGAGATTCTGCTCACTGCTTAGCTGCAGGTGGTGGTCCATCAGTGACACAGTATTTCGCATGAATACCAGCTCATTCAACCGAAAAAGCACAGTAATATTTTAAAACCATCTGTTTATATTCATTAGTATGTAAAAATCACAATACACAGATTAGGAAACGTGTAACGTGTCCATAATAAGAGTATATTATGTCAGGATAAGCTTTTTAAAGAGGCCTAAGCAATGCAATAATGAGGGAAGCAGACTCCGTGTGTTGGCTACAGTGAAGATACGTTAAAATTATAATTATTGTCATTGCCAAGAACTAACAAATAAAAACAAATTTAAAAAATTAAGTTCTGGTAGCACAATTACATCTATGGTAACAACAGCTCCAAGCAAAAGACCAATTCAGAGCTTGAATGAAATTTGTACTTTGTTTCTATAAGAATACAGTATTATTCTCAGACATTTCTACATGACTAGATTCATAAATAAGCAGTGAATTTCTTTTCATCACAATTTATTTCTAATTCATCCTATGCAGATTATAGATAGAACTAAAAATTACTTAGGTTTTTTTCCAGTACTTTATATAAATCGAGATCTTTTTTTAAACAGTGATTTATTGTGTTTTTTAAGGTAAAACAACAAAAACAAACTCTAAAATTATAACTTTAAATTAAGTGGTTAAAATTTCAGATGACAGAGCCAATAATTTGTAACAGCTTCTTTAAGTTCATATTAATAGTCCAATTAAAAACACTAACAACTACCTGGCAATACTTTGAAAGAATCAGAAGGGTTCGGTGAAGGGCGGGGAAATCCAAACATGCAAAATACCCCCAAACACATGATCTTTTTTTTCATTTTATAATCTAAACTTGTAAAATTTTTATAAATACATGATCATTCTACACAATACAGATCTTGTAGAGCATTTCTAAAGGATATTACAGTTTTTGGTCTTAAGGAATAAAGACTAAGATGGAAAAAAAGATGAAAACAGTGAAATCTGAGGAAGCAATACACTCTCTACACACAAGCAAACTGTAGTTCATCCAGTCAAGTTAGCGGTTACAGTTCAGTACATGATTTTCAAGGCAACTAAGAAATCAGGACACAGATATTTCCCCTTCCTAGAGTTAACAATTCTTTTAAAAGCTCTGATGTATCTATAAAGGAGTGTTGGTTTTTGTAGGGTTTTTTCCAAAAGGAAACAAAGAATAAACAGGGGAAAAAAAGTTTCCATCCCTAAATTCACATACACAACAAGTTAAGTTAAACTATATGCTAGTTTTAGACTACCCACTGAAATAGAATTGTTGGTACCATCTGAAGCAGGCGCTACCCTCCCTAGTCAGTTCAAAACATGATCCAGTAAAACAAATACACATTGTTATGCCTCAAACAACTATTAAGCATTTCATTATTCTTCAAATACCATGTTTAATTAACTCCTAAGGTAACAGACTTCTGGAATGTTGTATCTTAATGGTGTACCTGAATCAATACTAGCAACAGAATGCAAAATTCAAAACTGCTAAAAAGTAAAATCATCATTAAAAAAAACTCAATCCTTATGTAAAAAGAGAGCGAACTGAGTGTGAAATACTAACACCAAATGTCTGAAGGCAGAATTTTTGTTTGTGGAAGACAGAGTGAAGAGATAGATGCACCTAATCAAGACCAAATGGAAGACAGTGAAGAGTATGAAAAATGTTTATAAAAGAAATAGAAGGAAAATGGAGAAAAGGCAGCAAAAGGATTACTAGATAGAACAAAAATAAGAGAAAATGAAGCATGTGCATATGGCTCTTTTTTCATCTGTCCTTTGTGTTCCTAAATAACTTAGAATGTAAGTGGCATGTAGGCCACACTAGCAGGCAAGAATGAGCCTTGTGATGGATAGAGATGAAGGATCTGAGGCTAATGAATTGTTTTGTTTTTGTTTTTGCTTTTAATTCATACCTGAAAGCCTTGAATCCTTGCTAAATATTCCAGCTGTTTTGAAGGTTGTACTGGAGAACAAGGGGGAGTAGGAGAACTTCCTTTTAAACCTATGGCTTCAGCTGTAGAAGATGTTCCATTCATAAGGAGTTCCCTGGCAATTGTAGCTGAACTATTCGATGTGGGAGATATGCTGAAGAAAGAGCTTGAAGGTTGGTTCATATCTTTGGGTGACAAATAGCCTAGAGTGGTGCCAGAGATTACTTTGTGGCGGCTGGCTTCCATCTCTTGATAAACATCAGGAGACAAATGAAGAATTCCTTTTGGAGCTATAAATAAAATGAAGGGATACTGTTATTACACTTAAAATAATTAAGATAGAAACATGTTATAGCATTATTAACTCAATGGCTTTACTTGGTATAATAACAAAGAAATGAGAAACACTGCCAATCAAGTATCTTTGTCATACTGTAGAGGCATTTGCAGCTTCTATTAAAAGGTGAATAACGTTGTTTCAATTTTCCTAAAATTACAAGTTTAAAAAAATCCAAAAAAGTGGTTTCATTGGGACTTGTGTGTAGTAGGGAGGCTATAAAGGGACAAGGGAAACTGATGTGTGGAATTACAATGAGGGCGAAAATTGGGAATCTGCAGTGTCTTCACCTTTCATTTTAATATTTTATATCTCATAAAAGAGGCATGAAACCCCAACATATATAGCAACTGAGGCACACCAGGTAAAATGAAAGCTGAATCCATCCAAATTTATTTGGAGCTACAAATGCAGGTATTCAACAGCCTAATGGTCCTCTCACCTTCACAAGGATGTCCCACAGACAACTCTAACTCACGAACACCTAAAAAAACAACAGGGTATCATCTATAAACTAGTACTCTCCCTAACTTGCTTTGCTCATACCACCATGAGGCTACTCGTGACCCAATCTAGACTCCAGGCAACCATCTCTGATTTACTAATAATCAAGTAGTTATCATGTTGCTCAAACATCTCAAGAATCTGACCATTCTAGGGATTATCTAGTGCATTAATTCAAGTCAGGCCACGGACAGATTCTGAAATCAAGAGGAATGAGCCTGGGGCTCAGAGCTTTGAGACAAGCAAGACTGAAGTCAAGTCTTTAGGCAACTCCCAGATAAGTTGGGTCACTGGATACATGGTGCACCTCTTTGCCTCTCCAGGAAAAAACTGACTGCTGGAGCTTTTCAACTATTAGCTTTGTGCTTGGCTGAGGAGAGGATGGTTACGGTGACCACCACCACCACCTACCTCTGTTTTCACTGGCCCCCGGTTGCTAAAATATGCCATGTCCTGTCAGCACTCTGAGACTGGCCAGACAGAAGCCAGTCCTTTGGGTAGCCCCAGAAAAACTAAGGCATTGGATGTATGGTACACATCTTTCCCCTTCCAGGCAGAAAGAAGCTGGGAGCTGGGGGTAGGGGGTGGCTGTCCTGATTATATGGCACTGCACTATAGATAGGGATTACGGCATGAGAGTATGCCAATTAAGATCCGGCTAGTTTCATGCTCACCTGGCACACAGGGGCCTCTTAACTGATTTCTGGATTCTGACAAAGAAAATTCACCTATAAATTTATAGTTAAATTGCTGTGCTCCAGGGCTTCCTATTCTACCATCTTGCCAAGGCTAGACCATTCACTTACTTAAAGGTTTTTCACTGGTTTGTCAGTTACGATATAGGACCCAAAATCCTTAGGATAACTTAGGAAGCCCTTAATAATCTGGCTCGTACTTACTCTCTATCCTCATCTACTAAATATTTCATGAAGATCCCATGTTCCAGTCATACAGATATATCCAATACTCTAGGCTATTTGATTCCAACACATCTTTATTTCTATTGTTCGGTTACACACATGCACATACTCTCTTAGTTAAGCTCCAACTGCTATTGTGCTAGTTAAGCTCCAGGTATTGTGCCAACCAATACTGTCCCGATATCAAGCCATGCTCAGTCTGCCAGGAGAGGAATGAAATGAATCATACAATGTGATAGGGGTCTCGCTAGGGATGGGTATAGAGAGCAGTGGGAATGGGAAAGGAGAAGTGCTAAAAGCTCAGCAAAGGCTTGCTGGAGATGACAATGACAGTAAATTTCAAAGGATCAGGAGAACATAGTCAAGGAGGAATAGGACTGATGGCGGATGGCCAGCAGGAGCAAGGGCAAGGACCTAGAGAATTTGTGTTCTAGGAAACCTCAGGGCATGCCTTACCACAAGAGCATACAGAGAGCAGGGACTGCAACAGGTGGAGGCAGGCAGGGGCCAAGGTCCAGGGAACTTTACTCTGATGCCATTCAAGTATAAAAGAGTTTCGTAAGTTTTTTTTTTTTTTAAAAAGAAAAAACTTTAAATAGCTTAAAATAATACAGACAGCCCTCTGCATACTTGAGTCCTACATCCCTGGATTCAACCAAATATAAATAGAAAATATGTCTAAAGAGAAACAACAACAACAACAACAAAACAACACCAGGAAACCCCACACAATAAAAAATAACAATACAGCAATAAAAAACAATACAAACTTAAAAACCAATACAGTATAATAACTACTTACATAGCATTTACATTGTATTTGATGTTATGTAATCCAGGGAGGATTTAAAGTATACTGGCGTATGTACATAGGTTATATGCAAATATGATGCCATTTTCTATCAGGGACTTGAGCATCTGTGGATTTTGGTATCTATAAGTGGTCCTGGAGCCAGTTCCTCACAGATACCAAGGGATGACTGTCTATCAATCCTATTTTATGTATTTTCTTTATTCCTTTTATGTTAGCTTTCAAATTCTCTACATTAGCTTTTTATAATCAGAAAGAAATTTCAATAAATTTTTTTTACAAGAAAACATTATATACTGGAAAAACTTAAGATAAATCTCATCAGCCAAAGGACACTACTTTCAACATTTCGCTTTAAAGATATGTTTTTAAATCCTGTTTTATCTATGTACTTTTTAGTTGCTGTGTACTGAAAAAACAAGTTAAAAACATAGGAATAACATATGATCCTGTCATTGTTTACAAAACAATATACTTCTACTACTAATACTAAAAGCATAGCATTTCATTAAATGTATGAACTGTTTCTTTAAACAATTCCATAATATTGGACATCTAATTTATTGCCAGTTTTTTGCAATTATAAACACACTGATGAACATTCTTGTAATTCAATCCTTATTCACATAAAAATTTACTTCATCAAGTTAGAAGTGGAATTGCTGGTTGAAAGGATATTTAGGGTTTCTGAAACTAATAAATTGCCCTCCAAAGAAGTTGTACCAATATCAGACTCCCACAGAGATATATGAAAGTACCTTGTTTCCTATTTTGGTATTGGATATTACTATTAAAAAATCTTTGCCAGCCATCAACAGTAACAGAAAGCAGGTCAGTGGTTGCCTGGAGAGTGGAGCTGGTGGGAGTGATAGATTGCAAAAGGGTATGAGAAATCTCTGGGGAAGATGAAAATGTCAAGACTGATTAAACTGTAGACATTATGTGCAGTTTATTATACTTCAATTATACCTCAATAAAGTTGTAAAAAAAAATTTGCCAATTTGATGAAGCGACATATTACTGATTTTTGTTTTTTTACTATCTGCATAAACATTATATATATTTTAATTTAACAAATAAATGTTATGACTCTAACTTCTATACTCAATTTAAAAAATCAAGAAACTTAACAGCATTACTTCAATATTGTTATTATACAGCACTAATGGGTTTGCCAATAGCAATATTATAAAGCAACAAAAATGCTCTCTCCACACTCAAGAGAGGCATTACCTCATAGCATAAGAACGTGGAGTTCAGGCTCTCTTCTTATACAGTAAAGCCTGAGTCCACTTTTCTTCACAAATAAAGAAGATTCCTTTCTACAGAGTTCAACTAGCAGACCTGTCATAGAAATAGTATAAAGACATAGATTTATGTGGTCAAGAACTGAATGACTTTTAACTTGAACATCAGTAACAGTGTTTGGATGGGTCATAATTCACTTAGGATCTTCCTGTTGCAAATTAAGTTGCTTGTCAATAGTATAAAGCTCTAAAAGTAGAATCAAGAGTAATTTAGGGTATGCATATTTAAGGACCTTAAATTTATTTTGACAATTAGGTTTCTCCCAAAAAACTAGCCCAATTTATACTTCTATTAGTAGGATGTGACTGTTTTCCCACACTGCTCCCACAACAGGTTTCAGTTACTCTACATAACCATTTCCACTCTACAGTAATTCGCTGTGAATTTATTTTTGCTCAGGATAAACTTTTTCTCATGTAACTACTTTAGGTCTGTGCCTCCTTTGACCTCAGTTTTGCTCATGGACTTCAACCACTACACTTCCCTTGCTCAGGCTTATAACATCCATTATATTCATTCACCCTTTATCTGAAGAGGTCCTGAACCCATTCTGCCATCATCTATCTTTTGTCGCTGATTTTGCCTTTGATGTTCCCACTGCATATAGTCTATAACCACGGTACACTACAATGTGGATACAACATGGGCACTATTCTACTACTTTACTTCTCATTTAATTCCAGTAACAATCATATGAAATGGGTATTATTATTATTTTTCTATATTAGAGATTTAAAAAACTGAAGCATGGAGAAATTATGAAACTCCCCCAAGGTCATATGGATAATAAACAGCAATGCTAGAATTTGACTCCAGGCAGTCTGTCTCTAGAGTCTGGATGCTTAACCATTACATTAAACAGCCTCCTACAAGAACAGGTAGGAAACAAAACGCATCATCCCCCCAGTTCCAAACCCCTAAGGCTTAACCCAGTAAGTAAACTCAATGCCTGGAGTTTGCCCAGATTGGCTCCAAGGATGACCCATGTCATGATTGTCCCTAGATGTTCCAGAGATGAGCTCACCAAAATCTCACTGATGTATGTGAAGTTCATATATGATTTTAAAGGTCTAAAGTTGCCAGGGACTGTGATATCTTATAAGAAATGCCAGGCTATTGTGCCCACTTGACACATTTTTGCTCAGTAGATCTGTGCTTCTTTCAGATGGGTATATGAATCCGCTAGCACACAAGTCCTCCCAGAGCATCTTTATGGAGCTCCAGTTCTTACTGAAGAGTTGTAGAGGAAGTTTTGAATTGGAGATCTCTTAAAAGGTTTTATAAGTGAACCTTGTCTTTCAGTGATCACTGATGTCATGATTCTTTCAGAGATGCTGAAGAACATAAATGTTTATGAGTAGCAAGTGGTATCAGAGGTATTAAAACGCGGCACACAAATGCAGCAAGAAT